CGCAGGCGGCCCGGCCTCCGTCCCGGTGCAGTGTTGCGGTAATGCTATCTGCACTGGGAATTTATTCTGCAGCTTTCCTTTTCCGTGATGGTTTTCATTTCCTGTCTTTCAGAGCTGGAAGCGTTTATGGAATATCACATGGTTTTCGTTTACACAGGAAGTCAGCTGCAGCGGTGAGGAGATACCGACTGACTTTTTGCGTTTGTTTTTTAGGTTCCCCCCCATCCCCCCGCCACCGAAAGAGGGGGTGGGGAGCGCGCGCGAGATAGAGCTTGCACCATTTTGTTTTGAAATAGTTTTCCTTTTTCATCCAAAGTCACTGTTCTCCGAAGTGGCCTGTGAGTATATACAGAAAGCAGCAGTTTATTTCTGACACGTGGTAATCACTCTATGTGAAGAAAGCTCAGCATGAAGAGATGCTTTGGCTTTGCCCGGAGCTAAGGCGCGAGCCCGGGGGATGGGCGAGGAGCCTCCGGGACTGGCCGCGGGGAGAGGCTGAGAGCCCAGCCAGGACCCTGCGCGGCTCAGGCCGCCTGCCAAGCTCGGTTCCCGCCCTTCCGGGGGAAAACAAAACAAAACAAAAAACGGCCCTTACCGCCCAATAACCTGCTAGGACCACTCTGCTTAAACCTGCACACAGCATTGTCTTCCCTCTCCCCCACCGACAAGGACCACAGTAGGTCTCTTCTCATCCACCTCCAGCCCATCACCCCGGCAATCAAGAGAATCTCAAAGATGGAGAAGGACGTGGAAGTATTTGCGACTTGTTCTGTAAGCTCCGCCCTCTGGTCAACACTGAGTTAGGAACTCCTGACTAGAACCACCCACAAAGACAGCGCTCTCTAGTTACCCTCTCTGCTTCCGCAGTGTGGTTCCAGCAGCTTCTCACCCTCCACCCAGGAACCTCGGGCAACTGACCACCCTGGGCAATAGCGCCACCTCGTGGCCAGCACCCCTCTCCAAGCATTTCTTCCTCTCCCTTTTCCAGGAGCCTGAACAGTCTCTGTGGTCCCTGGAGACTGGCTTGAAGAGCCAGGGTATTCACAATCAAATCAGGGCTGAGAGCCCCCGCCCGAGGGTTGAAATGGTCCCTCCCTCTTTTCTTCTTGCCCCTGAATAAACTAAAAGGAAAGCACAGAGGACTGAAGTCTCCTTTCCTGCCATCTACTATTCCACTCTAACAGGCCAATTTCTTAGTTTAAGGCTGAGCCCCAATTAAATGGAAAATGTCCTTTAAGAGATAAAATTTGGGCACCTATTTTTAGGATGAACCAGTTTATCACCTTTTCCCTAAGGGTAAGGGGCTCCTAGAGCGAGTGGGGGTGGGGGGTGCACCCTGAGGGGCAGGAGGGGCAGGAGCCAGCACTGCAGAGTCCATACTTCAACGGCAGAGGCCATCCTGTGTTGGGAGTAGGAGGTGGTAAGGTGGCTCTGGGAGGCAGGATAGGACAGTCCTGTGCCCATTTCAGTGGTGGGCAGGGAGCCCTCAAAGGACATCAATTCCCCTTTGGGCCCCCAGGAACCAGGTATCCCTGGCAGCTGAGACTCGTTTATTTATTCATTGATTTAATCCTCACCTGAGGATATGCTTTTTATTGATTCTAGAGAGAGGAAGAGAGGGAGGGAGAGAGAGAGAGATCAATGTGAGAGAAATAGGTTGCCTCCTGCATATGCCCCGACCAACCGGGGATCAAACCTAAAACCTGGGTATGTGCCCTGACCAGGAATCAAATCCACCGCTTTTGGGTCTTCAAATTGAAGACGATGCTCCAACCAACTGAGCCCCCCGGCCAGGGCCAGCTGAGACCCATTTAATTGAGACTCTCTGACAGCCTCACCATGACCATCTTCTTTTGCTCCTTTCCCCCAGCCCATAAAACTAACAGCCATCTGTGTGAACATGAGCCCTACATTTTTATGGGCTGCCTACTGGCGGCTGCAGGACAAATGGGGGACAAAGGCTGATTGCTACAGCCCTTTCAGTCTCCCAGTATTAAACTGTGTAACGTGACCCATTCTCTGAAACTAAATATTTGCATGGACACCCAGAAGGCACCTGGCTACCAAATCTCTTGATCAGGTGGGTCGTTTGTGCTGCAAAAATCCCACCTGGGGATTTTCTCGGCTTCTGAAGGTTCAGCAGGCAAAGCTCCCGCCCATGACGCAGGGAAGCCTGGCTCCACTGTTACAGGCGGGCCTGGATTGGGGTGTGCAGACTGAACCTCACGGGGCCTGGGAGCTGAATGAAAGAAACCCTGTGCCTCTGTGCAGCGGCGGCTCTGCTCTCTGTCTGGGGCTGTTTTCCTCCCAGGAAACTGCACGCACCTCCTGTTGCGCATTACCTAATGGAGGGACTATTGTAGGCATCATGGTGCTCCTGAGGTTCTTCAGCTCGCAGTGAGCGCCCACTCTCTGCTGAACCAACTCATGTGGTAGGTTCCGAGAGGCGCTCCTTACCTTCTCTTTCCCTCTCCTACCCACCACTCTTCTTTTCTCCTCTCTCTCTGGGCCTATGGAGTTTATTGGTCTTGGGGGAAGGGGAAGTGGGTTGTCACAAACTTAGTTACTATAAACTCCAAACCCTGCCTGGCTGTTGGGTTTGGGTGATGGTCCCCAGTGAATCACAAGGGCTCTCAAGTGGCACACTCTCTGCTCAGGACTCTGCCTGGTCCCTGGAGCTTGACCCTCTGGAAAATGGGAGGATTTGCTGAGGGAAGGGGAAGTTTTAAGAGGGAAAATCAGATGCCCAACCCCAAAGGCTTCTGAGAAGCTCTGTGTTCCTGGCCAAGCCTTGCCCAGACAACCCTGCCTCTCCTGGAGAAGTCCGTCCCTGGAGGGTGAGTGACCCAGGCAGGTCTGGACCTACGGCTTTGCCATCCCAAACTCAATTTTCCTTCTCTCTCTCATTGTTAACTACAATTTTTTCATTATTGATTTTTAGAGAGAGGAAAGGAGAGAGAGAAACATCGATTGGTTGTCTCCTACAGGTGCCCTGACCTGGGATTGAACCCTCAACCTGGGTATGTGCCCTGACTAGGGATCGAACTGCTACCTTTTGGTGCATGGGACAAAGCTACACCCAACTGAGCCATGGCCCGGAGTCAATTTTCAATATGCATTTTTTCCTTTTGAATTTATTAAAAAAAAAAAAAGACCTTCTGGTAATATGCCAGAATGAGATATATAATGATGTTGTTTAGCAGCAACTGTGTCATTCTGTGCTGTTGACAGTAAAATAAATTAACGTAATAAACATAATTTGCTCAAAAACAGCTAAGGAAAAGCAGATGGTTAACACATTTTAGCAGGACCTGTTGGTCCACGTTTGCACGGATGTTTAGACAGTGTGCTGCCTGCAACAGCTGCTCGCCTGGGTCTCCATGTGATGAGCACAGGTGACTCGGCATGGCCTAGGGGAGGGCTGGGCCACCTGGGGGTTGGCACCCTGTCCAGGGCACTCCCTGGAAGGGGAGTAATGCACAGCACCACTTGCCTAGGTCCCAGCCAGGGCTGGCTCAGGGCGGGAAGCCTGCCTCTGCCTCCCCCTCCCTTCCCCCAGGACAGGGCCCATGCTTTCCCAGCACCTGGCCATTAGCATGCGCAGCCTGTCCCTGCCCAGTGGCTGTTCTTTGTCTCCTGGAACAAGCCAGCTTTCTTCCGGAGAGGATGGCGCTCCAGCTCCTGCCCATGAGCTTCCCAGTAGCTTTGCGGGCCAGTGGGCCTCAGCTGGCCACGAAGAGTGGGTGCCCCATAGCCCCTAAAAGAGAAGAAAAATTTATTTTGCAGAAGGAGGCCCTGGCTCCCCAGTGCCTGGAAATCAGGGCAAGGGAGGAGGTCTCCTTCCTCACCAGGTTGGAGGGGTTGGGGCTGCAGGTCACTGCCATCCCAGGTCCTAGTGGCCAGAACATGCTTCCTCCTCCAGCTCCTGTTTGTAGCTGGGGGTGCCAGGCTTGTCATGAAAAGGGGACCCTTCCCAGCATTCGGACAGGCACTCAAAGGTCCTGGAAGCTGCATGGGCACCTGTGCACAAAACCTGGGCGCTGGACTGCAGACTTCAGAGACGGTTCAGAAGTTCCTGACAGGAGAGAATTTGGAGGAAGGGTCCCAGCTGTCTATGAAATACCCAAGAAAACGCTGGTGTAAAACCCCTCGCACCTGTCTGAGTCCATCTCCTTATTTTCCAAGTGGAATAGTTATGAAAAGTGGGTGTAATGATTGTACAGGCTGCTTAGCACATGCCCAGCCCGGGCCACATGCCCACTAAATGGAGATGTTAATCTTGACTGCAACACCCAAGCCAGTCTCATAGGAAAGGCAGCGCTTTCCCTGGACCCTCACCCCCATGCCCGAAAGGCCTTCAGAGTGCGGCCAAGTCTTCTCTGTCCCAGATTTGCTCCTCAGCAGCTCCTGACTGAGCTGCACCCTGATCGTTCCTACAGGCCATCCTCCACCACAGCTGCTCAACCCGCTCCGTCTCTCAGGCCAGGTGCTCTGAGGCGGAGTTAGAAGGCTCACAAGGGGAAACCGGTGAAGAATAAAGGGGTGAAGGGGCAGGAAGAGTCAGGGAGAGCCTTCAGATCAGGACCAGGTCTGACACCGGGAAAAGAAGGAGGAAGGAAGATGGGGAAGAAGAGCTGAGGACCAAGGACCGCAGTGGAGCTTTAGAAAGCCTGTGCCCACCCAGCAGGGAGCCCCAGGGTCCCTGTCGCAGTCAGTCATGGGCAGGGTGTGGCCTCACACCAAATGCTGGGTGGATCTGGATGGCATTGAGCTGGAAGCAGTCAGTCGGCTGACCACTCTCCTCCCAGCAGGTTCTCTCCTGAAGGGAAGCAGGCAGGGCACCCCCTTGGCACCACACTCACCAGGGGTTCCCTTGCACTTGGAGCATTATGCCCTGGCTCTGCAAGCCCTCACCTACCTTGTCCAACTCATATTCCCCCGCCCCACCCAGTTCTACCCCAGCCACTGTGCTTCCATCCACAGAGCCTCGGGCAAGCCGAGCTTGTCCCAATGTGGTGGCTTTCAGGACGACCTAGAACACTGGCTTCCTCATCTTCCTTGGTGGATTCTGCAGGCAATTCAAATCTCAGTTCAAGTGTCAGCAGCTTCCCTGGACCCTCCGCCCTAAAGCAGCCCCACCCACTCTTTGCTCTGCACAGCAGCTGATTCCAGTCTTGCATAGCCCTCCTCACTGTCTGCGTTTTGGGTGTTTCTTCTGCTTCTTGTTTATGTGCGGACGTTTGCAGTGTCACATTTATTAGACCAGAGGCCTTGCCTTCTCTGATGTGCTTACCACCCTGTTCCTCGAACAGGACTTGGCTCACAGTAGGCACACAATACATACACGTGAAGGCAAGACCTGGAAGGGCTGGGAGCACTCGGACTTGGTAGCTGGATGTTCTGGGCAAGGTGCTACCCACTTTTCAGAACAAAAAGAATAAGTTTTCAGAAGAAAAAGAATGCTGAGTGTGTGTGCCTCGACACGCCTAACAGGAAAATGTAACAGGAAAGTGATCCCAAAGCCAAGCACACCAGGCACGTGGAAGGTATCTATTCCTCATCTGAACCTCCTAAGGCTCTTAGCATAAGAAGCACTGTGATGTGCTAACATGCTAAGGAAGGGTGGATCCGAACCTCTTCCCCCAGCATCCCTTCTCTCTGAGTAGTTTTTAAAAATTCTTTAACATAATAGGCCTGCTTTCATTGTATAGTACAGGCTTAACTGTTGGCAATTTAGTTGTTACCAGCAGACTTGGTTCTAGAACATTCCAGTGACTGTGGCCTTGGGCACTATTCTAGCATAATTCTTAGGTTATTTTGTGGGGACACTGGGAAGGCGTATCTATATAGAATTCTTCTTGCTGACATCAAGCAACCCCCCAGAACCACACCCAGCAACAACCTTAAAAGCCCCCAAATTTCCAGTTATCCCAAATCCTCTTGATTAGCAGAACGTAGTCCTCTCAGTACTGTATGTACCGTGCTAACAAATCACCCTAAAACTATTACAAAAATCTCTGTGGGGCTGTGGCAGCTGCGGCACAGATGTTTTGCATAGCAGCTGAGCATTGTTTAGTATCAATAAACACTATCTTCAAGACATAAAACACAAACGTGGAACTAGACATGGCAATA